CTGAAAGCAGGAGGAATCTCCATTAGACTGGCTGGGATCAGACTCTCTTTTCACACGTCAGCCTGAGACATGTGTACTTTGTGCATACTGTGAAACACACAGGTATTTTTGTCAGACGGGATGGTTATTTCCTTGTGGACTGTATCTTTGTGGTGCCCTGAGGGCATGCAGCAGGCCTCAGATGGTCTCAGTTTGGAAATGGTATCTTGAAAATATGGGAAGTCTGACTGGCATTGTTTAGCGTCTATTTTGTGTGTGTGCCCTTATGCTTGCATGTCTATATTTGAAGAACAGTAGGAACACAAATGGAAAGAAACACAACACAGGTTTATAGTCCTTTTGTGTTTTTGGTAATACTTCATTCTGATCTGGTTAGTTCAGGAAGCTTGTTTTGGTAATATTAAAGTTTGGAGAGTGCCTGCTCCACGGGCTCTTTGATTAACTAATAAGCCTGAACATCATAAAACACAGTGTTTTGGAAAAACAGGTAAATAGACTTACAAAATAGAGGAACCATTTTCTCCCCCTTCTCCCCCCCATTTTAAAAACATAATTTGAATCTTTACTTTGAATGTCATTTGAAACACATAGGGTAGAGATGGCGAACCTTTTAGGGGCCAAGTGCCAAGGTGTTATCCGGTGCCAGGTGGCAGGAGTTATGCCCTCCGGGGGTGGGACTTCCAGTGTGGGACTTCTTTCCTCTGCTCTCCTGAGTCTTCAGCTGCCTCTCCAGAGACAGCTGAAGGCCTGGGGTGGCGGGGGGGGGGGGGGGGGGGGGGGAAGAAAAGGTACAGGCATGTGCCTCTTCTTCCTCCTCTCCCTGTGCTGTCCCCGGCCTTCCGCTGTCTCTGGAGAGGCAGCTGAAGGCTGGGGAAGGTCTGGAAGGAGGAGAAACAGGCATGCGCCTCTTCCTCTTCCTTCCCTCGGAGAGGCAGCTGAAGGCCTGGGACGGCCAGGAAGGAGGAGGAACAGGCGTGTGCTTCACATGGCGTCTCTGGCACTCATGCCATAGGTTCGCCATCACAGACATAGGGCATAGCTTGAAGACATCTATGCCCATATATGGCCTTTTTGGAATCATTGGGCAAAGCTAAGTGAATATCTTCATTGTGGATTGCTTCACAGAAAAGTCTAAATCCAATACAGTATTTGAAGTTTTTTTGGGAGTGAATTACACTGATCAAAATACAAATGAAAGAAAAATAGCTGACCTGGTAGGTAAGAAAAAAGAAGCCATATTTGGGTAAGACCTTTATTGGGACAAACCAAAATGTGACAGAAGAGTGTGATAAAAGTGTATCTTGGGTTTCTAGATCTAGCTTTCCTTTTGGATGCACAAGTGATATCCTCAGCACAAAAAAACCTTTTATCCATTGAAGTTGATACATCAGTGCTATTCCATTCCGGAAAGAGATAATCTTGGTATAGTACAGAGAGACCCATGCTCCAGTGAAATCCAGGCTCAATAGCTACAACATGTTATATGTGGGGATGCATTTGAAAAATGATTTGAATGTTTCATCTGGTTCAGCATACAGCAGACAAGAGTGTCAGTAGGTATTCACTGTGATGAACATATTTCTCTAGTACTTAAATCCGCACTGACTTTTGTTGCATAGGTCAGCTAGCACAGCACAGAGTACATGAAGCCGTAATTGGGTCTGGCATGGATATTTTTCCATATGAATCAACCTGTAACTTGAGATCTGCAGCTTGTGTTTTTCTCTGGGAGGCTATCCTTTGGTGGTGCTATTGGGAAAAGAGTCTTGACACTATCCTTGTTATAGAATTCCTCCTGGTGCAGACTCCTTTGGCATGGTGGTTTTTATGCTATAAGCATCATGTCATGCTTGTCCTGTTCACCTGCATCTTTCATGATAATTAGGCTGTAATTGCTTTTTTGGGTCAATATTTGATATCATTGTTTATTTACACTGCTTCACTTGGTTTTTATGATGAAATTCACAAAATGAAATTCAATACGGAGAAATGTAAAGTTCTGCACTTAGGGCGGAAAAATGAAAAGCACAAATATATGATGGGGGAC